TACTCGAAGGGAACGGTAGACCACGCCGAGTGGAGGAAGATTGTTCCACGCAGTGAAACTTGAATCCACAGTGCTTCAAAATGAGGTCCATGAACAGTGTCGTCGAAGACAGTCGGAACGTGTAGGCTGCTTGGAATTATGGGGCAATAACACCTGCTCCCGGGCGTTTCGAATCATCCCGGAAAATGGGCTGGCCTTCTAAGGAGCCTTCCGCATCAGATACATCTGTTTTCAGGCAGGCTTCTGTAAGTTTGACTATGAACAATTGTTCAAGAGAGGCCGATTTTGGATATGCTGGAGAGTCCATGGCAGTTTGTGGATAAGCATTTTAACATCAGTTCTGAGGGCCGAGAGGTAGAGAATAGAATATTTATTGCCCACCTTTCACGTTTGATTCTTACTTGTCTGTCTCTCTCCCCCCAAGAGTTTTGCCCACCAAGAGGCTGGTTTGTACAATTCCGTTGCCATAGGGTCAAAAATTAAAATGACCGCTGGTTATGGTTTGTGTATTACCACCTTTGAGACGCCTGGGTACGTGGTCCATTTACGTTTCCGGGGCTCTCTTGCACGCTTTGACTCACAAGGTCTCCCTGTGCCTCGCCCCAGGCAACAGCTGGTAGCCAAAAAATCTATGACGGTTGAGTAAACCGCAATCTTCAGTCGCGACCGTTCACATCATCGTGGCTTTAGGAGCCCTGGATTCAGAAACCACCGTCGTGGTGGCCAAAAGTTTTGGATCCGCTTGTCCATAGCGATCTACTTTGTAGCAATGTGAAAGCTTGTTTTGCCCTTCCCATCTAAAACCACGTGACCCAGTCGGTACATGGGGGATGTTTGGGTGAACGCTTGATCTTTAGAAAGGCCTTTTAGATACTGAGGGCCTGCCGTCAGATCATCTTTACGGCAGTCGGGGGGGGCAAGTATAAAAGAATACAAAATTTCGCTTGCTTCCCCCTCTACGTAGCCACTCTGAGTGAAGCGATTCGTATTTAAGTTTTGTTACGACACTACAGAAATTGGCCCAGTGGGGTTTGTTGACCTGATTTTTCAGATGAGCAACCCCCAAGTGATCAGCCTGGACTCACTCTTGCTGTGTCCAACAGAAGTGTCGTGGCGATCTCCGTTGCTGCATCGAACCTTCGAGTAACCTTCTTCTCGGCAAAAGGACTCAGAATGGACAGCACCTAACGTCCGTTCAGGGTAAAAGTTTGTTATCGTCTCTCGTCCAGGCTGGTTCGTTCTTTATATTTGTATTTTCCAGAACTTTCGAGAATTACTTGTTTTCCTCAAGTGTCCCGATTGAAATGCAGCATTTGCACTTATATTTTCGACCTGGGAGTGGAGTCTTGGTTTGATTTTGGAAGCCGACCTGTTAGTTGTGGAATGCTTAGCACCGTAAGGCAGGCAGATGGCGCAGGAAAACAGATCAAGCGATAGGGATAATTGGCTTATCTGGTCATCGCGCAAACACGTACATTTAAAACGAGACCAGGTAAACACGGCGTTACACTCCGCGCCTTGAATTTTATGGATATCTACTTTACATAGGTTTCATTTTTTCCGCATATGGCTGTAGAGGAGTGCAGTCTGTAATGATCTGCTCTGGGTTGTTAGCAAACGGGTGCGCCGCGAAAATGGAGTCGAGTCTGGCCGAGATTTCCACGCATGGGATGTGTTGGTGTAAAAATTCAACGAAATGACTTGTGGTACCACTGTGTGTGAAGCAAGCAAACAAAGAATTCTTTCACAAATTTGCACGAGCGAAAAAACGGAATCACTTTTAAAAGTATCATGCTGAACCGCAAGAGAGATGTTTTTAGTATTCTCCCAATTAAACTGAATTTTCGGAAGCTATGACGTGTCCCTGACGGAGCTCAGGATACCGGTTCAAAGTTCGAAGCCCCATCTGGGCAGCCAGGGCTGCCAGCGATGCTAGGAAAATAACCCACCAGAATGTTTCCGCCATTGGTATGCTCCTTTGAGTGGACAATGAAATTTGGTGCCCTGTGAAAATGTAAATGAACATCAGAATTAGAATGAACGTTTTCAGTTTGAGCATATACTCAACAAAATGCAGCATTTTGGCGTAAAAGTTTTATTGTATTCTTAGAGGTTTTGCAGATCGGAGCATTGTGCGGCCAAGCCGCCCCTAAGGGTGATTCAAAATAACGCAGGATATGGTTCACCCATATCTCCTGATTCTTGTGGAGACGTAGAAACATCCTTCCGCCATGCAAATAGGAAAAGTCAGTTTGAAGCGTGTCTTCCGGTTATTAACTAAATATTGGGAATTTCTCATAGATTCAAGGCGGAAACGAAACCGGGTTCTCTGGCTGGCAGCAGTATCACTGGATGGATGCCAATCGATTTAAGCCGTTTTCGCCCTACAAGTGAACTATTCCGAACGGTTTCTGTTCTGGTTGTCGTAAAACTGCTTTCCATTTCTATTGTGAGACTAACACATTAGGGAGTTTTGCACCAGGTATCAAGTTTCGCAAAGCTCTCCCAGAGATCGCTGCTTTTGTACCACTATGCATCAAGAGCTATGGAAGCTTGAGAATAGCTTTTATGGGATCAGGGGCAAACTAATGCAGTTTTCGTTACGAGGCGTTATCCAAGGTAGAGCCCCAAGCGTAGAACCCTCTATTCTCATTGGTGTATTTTCCGGCCAATTGGGCTCTGACTTCGTGCGGTCCGTAGGCGGTTCGCCCCCGGACTGCGATCTGTAGACCAGCAAACCGTGTTTTAAACGCTGCAACTGTGCTACAGACATCGGTAATTCCGAGTTGCTGTAGTTTCTCATAGAAATTGGTACAACTCATATGTAAGGGGGGAAAATCAGGCATCGGTGACGCAGATGCATTTTTCTTTGTCCCTAAACTTTATGATGAGTGTAAAGATAAAGTGCATAGTAGTGAAAATTTAGACTGATTTGACTGGAGCTATGCCGTTGGATGACCATGAGGCAACAGACATTACTTGCTGCATAAACGTCTGATGACCATACTGTGCTCTCGGGGCATGGTTAGCCGCACCGGGGAACCCGAGTATTATTCAGTGGAGTAGGGCTCTCCGTGGGTATTCCCCGTGACTGTCTTGCACTATTCAACTGCATTGAACAATACTGAAGTGAACAGTTGACCTGTTTTCCCAGCCCTATTAGAGATTCGAGGGGGCTTACCTGCTCAAACAGGAAGTATCTCGTTACAACGGCCCTTCAAGCGGTACGAGGCAGTAGCTGCTCGATCAGCAAAACTGAACTCGATTCAGAACAAGCCCAGGTAAATGTATATAGCAGAAAATAGAATTAGGAGTGAGGGTTGCTGTGTTTTAGGTTGGCTGAGTCAATCGCGGGATTAGGATGTAGGCAGAAGTGCGCTAAAGACAAGCTGAGCAGGAAAAGAGGACTGACCGTAGGACCGCCGAAACAAAAAATTTTAAGCTCTGGCCACTGACTGTAGAATAATAGCTATAACACTAGCTCAGCCCGACATCCCTTCGGTGCCTAGCTGCGATTCCACCAAAAGGGTGCACTAGGGCTGAGATATCGTCAGAGTGCTGAAGCCTAGAAAGGTAGCAGTCGAACTACGTGGTTTAAGTTCTCACTACAAACCTTCCTGTCAGTAGGTTCGTGCCTTGTCTACTGAGCCAGCCCAAGCTCACTTTAGATAATTGTTTTCCAGCTTCATTTACTTTCAGAAGCAGAAACGTTAAGGTTAGTGTCAGGCGAGGGGGGCATTTGGGTGAACCAACCTGACCGTGATCAAAGTATCCCCGTGTCCACTTTGTACCACAGTTGGGCATCGCGCCTTTGAAGCGTTGTTCTAAATTGGCATCAACAACCTCCTAATGGAGTGTATCCCGGTTGTTAATTACGGGATTCGATAGACTGACGTCTACTTGTCCATGGGCTTTTATTAGCTTGAAAAGTTTAAGACCGTGTCACCTTGTCAGGCTCCTTGCAGTCCTTGGTGAAGAATTTCCTGAGTTGTGCTCCAGGGTCCCTTTTCAGATTTCGGCGGATTTGTGTGAGGCCTTCACGGTGAGGTCGGTAGCCCAACAGAAAACGCTGGGTTTCTGTAAGCGATCTTCCGGAACTTCTAAAAAACGGTTGTCTGTTTGTTCCAACGCCTTTGTACCATCTCCACGCCAGTCTCTTCTTTGGTGATAGAAAATGTGGCACGTTCAATATAATTCAAAATCGGCTGTACTGTCCTTGCAACACTGAAATCGTTGTTGCACTCAGAGGGACGAAAGTAGCTTCAGCTTGATAAGCCCGCATCATACCAATGAGACTGACGAGAAGGAAATACCTGTAGGTTACTGGAATCAGCGTTGTTGTCAGCATCTGTAAATGTTCAAGTGAAGAACTCGGGCTTCACTTAAATCCGTTAGCAAAAGTTTCATCATCATCAGAGTCACACATCAGCAGTGGAAACTAACGCTTTACTGTCACACAGCCATGGAAGAAGAAGTTCCTTGTAAAGGATGGAAAGGAAAGGAGGGTAGGGGGACTTAATGCCGAAAAGCCATGTCCCTTAAGAAAACAGCCAAGAATGAAGGCTGGAGTATCTCCAAAAAACGTTGAATTAAGTTTCTGTGCGTCATCTTTGAGCAAGACGCCATAAGTGGGATGACCCGTATCTTGCGGGCACCGAACCTGAGCCCATCACAAGACGATAGACAAGATTTAGATATCAGACGCAGAACTCAAATGAAATTATCAGCACCAGCTCGCCGGATAGTCGGATGTTGGACATAAAAAGCCACTGGAAAAAATATCCGAAACGGTACACAAAGCTAGAACTTCTGCTTGCGGTACAATCCAGCCAGCCTCATCCAAACATGGGATCTCTGATAGGACCGTGTCTTCGCTAGGGACCCGGCGACAGATTCCTCCCGGCCGCAATCACAACTCCACCCAACGCACCTGTCGACGCCATGTGAGACTGAGTATATGTACAGACCGAGAAGCTTGGCAGAGCCGAAAGGCCGAAGAAATGGAAAATGCAAAGAATGCGGGAAACGTGCGCAATCTGCACCTCTTGATTCGCTCGACTGGCCCTCGAAAACCTCTTGTCAACGAAATAATCAGGGACCAAATTGGCTTGCTGATATGCAGCAGAGCAGAATGTTTGGACTTCTCGGCACAGTACTCCGAACAGCAATTCAGCTGGCCACCTGCTACCTCCAATCCAGAATCCTGGCCTTCAAAAGAAAGATGGACCGTGAATATGGAGCCGCCTTCAGTCTCAGAAGTGCCCGAGTGTATTTCCCTCATCAAGCGTCATCCTGCTGCTTGTCTTGATGACTTTCCATCTGCTCTCTTCAAGGATGACGATGGACTTCTCAGCCAGTGCCTGTCTAGCCCATTTGGGTCTATCTGGAAGAAAGAGCAGCCCACATATCTAAGGTACCCATTTTCACAAAGGGTGCTCGCATTCAATGTAGTAACCACGGAGGTGTGACAAGGCTTCTGGCATCACTGATCGTCATCTTACGGTGGCACACGAAGCCTTAATTCGTGAGAATCAAGCGGGATTTCGACCGGATAGCGACTACGTTGACCACATCTTCGCACGCTATCAGGTGTTAGAGCAATGTCACATGTGCAGATGACCCAACGTCCTGGTATTCTTCGACTTCAAGGGTGCGTTCGATTCTGTTGATCGGTCGGTGCTGGCAACTCACACTTGCTCAACAGGGTGTGTCCCAGAAGTCTTACCATAATCTGATCTTTCTACTCACATACTTCTAGATGTGCGGGAGTCTATTATGAGCTCCCCAAAAGCTTTCTTACAAAATATGGTGTCGATAAAGATGTCCGCTCTCTCTACTCTTTCTCGACTTCATACTTGCTAAAATAATGCGTCGAACGCTGGAAGGTCTTCAAAATCCCAGGTGTTGAAATTGTTGCTGGTGAGAGCCATGTTGATCTAGATTGCGCGGATGACCCAGTCCTCATTTTTGAAGACCAAAGCGAAGCATAAGCCCTGTTGAATAGACTGAACACCGTCATGCATGCGCCTTACACCTTCAAAGTGCAGTCTTCCTTCAGAACATGCATTCTCCGAAAACTGGAGATTTTGGAACATTTTGCATTCCGCTACAATTGCGTTAGCTCTGACGGAAATGTGTTTGTTGAGGTTAGTGCAAGAGTCTCAAGCGCTCGAATCATGTTTGCTAATTTGCGCCATTTCTAGCGTCAAAAAGGCATCTCCAGATATCAAGGTTCGGGTGTATCATGCTACAGCAAGGGCTGTGTTGTTGTATGGGTGCGAGACATGGTCTCTGTGGACAGATGATGTGAGTTATCTTCACGTTTTTGGCCACCGATGGCTCAGAAGCGTTGCTAGTTTTGGATGGCTTCAGCGTCTTAGTAACAAGGTGATTAGAAAACGGGTATTTGGTTGTGCTGCAGGCACTTCAATCTGAGAAAACATCCAGCACTATCGTCTACGATGGTTCGGCCACGTGCTATGCTTACTGAAACACCATCTACCGAGGCAAATATTATTCTTGGTGACTCGTACAGGATTGCAATGACCACGAGTTGGACACCGTATGACTTGAAAGAAGGATATGAGGGAGATTACGAAGATGATGATGGGGTTGCCATGACCCCGCCTGCGCTTAGATGGAGACACTGCTAGAAGTGCTGGCTGACCGACGTCAGTGACGTACGTGCTGTCAGTTCATTTCCAGCTTGTTTGATTGAGCGTTTGGAGGTGTAAGCACCTCAGAATTCTCGACATAGTCCAGTAATAGGTCCTCTCCCTCACGCGTTCTTTTTCTCTTTTCACTCTGGGGCTTTAAATACAATCATGAAGTTAATGGTTGTACGCCAGTGAGGCACCAGTGTCAACACTGGTGTCGTTGTATCTGGTGCTGAAGAGTTTAGAGCGTCGCTTAGTCCTCATGCGTCCCTCTGAAGCACCAGGCTGGTTTACTTATCTGGGCAACTGCGCTACTCGTGACTGTTTTGTGACAGAACTAGTCAATGGGCGCATGATTGAGGCCTTAACAGCAACTATCAACTTGCGTCATTGCGTGGGGGACGAATTTTGCTAAAACTAACGGCTCGTGGCTACAGGCTACTGTGAGCGCAGTCTTGTTCTCCGGTTGTGAAATTTGGTGTCTCCTATTTGAAGACCTTAAACAATTGGTCGGTGACTTTGCAGTGTGACTAGCGTTAGTCAGGTGCACCATGTTTACACTGAAGCAGTTCATAGGCTAGTGTTTAGCTAGGTTCACGTGATCCTCCTTGTGCGGGGTCGGGATAACTGCAGGGGTACATGCTTTGAAGGCGGTACGCAACCCATCTCAGTGGATGGAATGTACTTCTAAAATTCTCATAACCAACTAACTAGCTTGCTTCTGCCTATTAGCAATCGGCGTGCCTTCGGTTCTCAGTGGTGTGTTTTATATTTTTATTCAGACGGCTTTTTCGAATGGGGCAAGGTTTTTTCATACCGTCGGGCTTATGGGAAAACACTTGGCTTATTCCTTATTAAAGTCTATCCACAATTTCCCCTCGGCTAACACACCCTTGCGTTGCTGTTCCGCTAATCAACCAACCATGGAGGCTTGTTCGTTACCTAGCTGCTCCGCCGGTGTCGGTACAATGGACGCCAACCGCTGGATTCAATTACACAAAGAGTTCGACGCATATTATTCGGAGTTTGAACGTCTTCTTTCTGAGTGTGCGCGACCGAAGAATTCTGCAGACGAACTTGTTCAGGTGAGACTTTGGCAATTTTCATATGCCGTTCGGTGTATTGCGACTATTTTCCTTCCTGAGTTCTGACTCCTTTCCGGTCAAATCTCGAGTCAGGACCAATTTCCTCTGAGATGGTTCAACGCGAATACTGTGTTGGATCTTGTGGATGGTGTTCCTGGTATGTCGACAAAAGTTGCCTCGTACTAGCTATACTCTGCGTAGGAAGTGGCGTTGAACGTGCTAGTGAGATGTATAGAAGTTTTTAGTGGTCAAATTGATCGTTTTTATTGTAACATTTAGTCTTTTCAGCATCTGCCTATGTTTTGTCGCCCCCGATGGGTGGATGATTGACCCATCTCCTTTTTCCATAACTTGCTTTAATATGGACTTACAGTTGGTCTTATCTACCGAAGATTTACTTTAATTTACAGCAACACTCCGACAGAAGGTTTGGTCTCTTGTGAGCTTCATATGTGATGTAACAGTATGGTATACATCATATTGCCGTACTGGTTCAAGCTAACTTGGCAGACCTTCGCTGAATAAGTACTAAATACTGAGCACTCAGTGCTTGTTATTCACGTATTTATGTCTTGTGAGTGTATTTCAGGCAAACGAACTTCGCGTGCACCGATGTATTTTAAATCGATCGGTTCATCGATGCATTTTAGTATTTCACGGCTTCACTAGATTGGCCGTTTCGTTGCTTAGATTTTTTATCCACACTCACTCTGTAACCGTATTTACCGAAGTAAGCGGTTTTTCCTGAGTGAATCTTATGTTACGCTCAGATGGCACGAATAAGCCGGACAGCATTTCAGGCCAATCGTCTGATGTTACTGAAGGGAGAAGCTCATGTACACAAATGCGCACTCGTTTATAAGTTTTCTTTTTCTTCCGTTATCTCATGCTTCTCGTAGCTTCCTGTAGGTGTACGAAATAATTTTCGGGGACTAGACCCGCCTTATGGATCTCTAGAAAAGTGAAACCGGTTCAGCAAACTTCCAAGTATTATCATCATCTTTATGTCGATTTTCTTGGCACGCTCAAATGTGTGTTGTTTGTTTGATCTATGGTACCGTACACCTTTGTCACCTGTGTGATTTCATATTTTGCTCAAAGCGACCCAATGCAATCATATTCTCTATGAGAGTCCGCTAATCTACTCATCTCCTTCACTATCCTCAGTCTTTTCGACCCGTAGCGTTTAAATAGTGTGACGTAGAACTTTAAGTGTTCAGGGTCAGGCAGCACCAAATACGGCTCACACGGAATAGTTGCTTGCACGACAAAAGGACTCGGAGAGCAGACCAATCGGGAGACGACCGTAACACGAGTATTCGTTGGAGGGTTTTTCTACTCATCTGCAAATTTTCAGCATTGTTGTGAATGGTACCTCTATATAATCCACCAAACTAAGAACCTTCGCAGAAGTGGCGGGGTTGGAGATTTATGTGACACCCCAACTTAATTTCCTGTGGATGATATCCTAATGTGATAGATTTTAAGACATCACGACATTCGGAGATACTGATTTCGTCAGAGAAACGCATTGGTTTTCAGCTGACCCTCCATCAGTGCTGTCGGTTGCCAGTGGATACCGACGTACTGATTGTTAACAATCTCTTTTCCTGCTTGAGGATACGATTGCATTCAGGGTGCTACTTTGCTTACGGGCATTTGTGTTGTACATAAACGAAAAATCCAAATGAGATTCAGTTGAGTCTCCCCTTAAAACTGAATCGGTGTGCCGGTGCGTGTATTCCTTGCTTGGGTTCAAGCAGAACAAAAGGTTCACAGAAACTCGGGAACTGTGCCTACCTGATGAGTCTCAAAAAGGATGAAACCAGTCGTGGGTTATCGAAGAGCTCTCAGCAACCTTGTAAGCAGTTTCCTTCAAAACTTCTTTGTATTTTGCTCCGTTGGGTTGCAAGGTTTCACTGTGCCAAGCAAGCAGTTTATGGGTATTATAACCTAGCTCCCTTGCTGCAACTTTCCTAGGTTACACTTTTTGTTCTGCTTTGGTGTAAACGAATAGCCTTAAGGGTGATACGAATGAGGCAACTGTTGGTCGTATCAGAAAAGGAACCGTTTTTGGGAACGAAGAATGCGTAGAAACATTTCTTAAATGACGTAACAGCATCAGAAGAAAGGGAAAGATGATGGGAACCGGATATGGTTGTAGCGAGTTCCAGAACACAGCTGCGTAGTGTGATAATCAGATGGCTTCAGCTCTGGTTAAAATGAAGAGTAGCAGATAACAGTATGAAAACACTGGTTGAACTGAGGCGGAATTTGGCGTAGGTAGGTTGAAAAGTCGAGTGGATATCTCGGCCTTCCCTTGAGTGCGGGTTCAGGACTCTATTAGAGTTGAGAACAAGGGAACAGAAGGGAGAGCTCAAAGTTTAATGTTCGTACTAGCGGCTGCTTGGCGACTGACGAACATATCCTAATCTAGACGATGATTGTGCCGGAGTCGCATGTATTGACACTCAAACGGAATGTAAATTTGTGCTGAGGACGCCAGCATGTCCAGTGTGAAGAGAATAACTCAACCCCTCCAGAGGTCTTGTCAGGTCTAAATAAATATTGTTCACATGAGAGCATCTTGTCGATGAGACACGCGTGAAGTTCTCAACTAAAAATTGAAACGTGATCGCAGATGCGGCAATCTCAACCGGAAGACAGGTAACACCAAATGTATGCGATACATTGAAGGTAAAGCAGACACGCAATACTTATAATGGGGGGGGGCAGGGAATTCAGTAAAATACAGTTGGGTGTGGTTGGCTACGAAGAGGTCTGGGGTCGACTGTCCTTTGAGTTTCAGAATTCAGGCAGGCAACTAACTACTTTCCTACAAGGATATCTCATACCCGACGACTAGCAGCATTCGCGCGCGGATGTACCAACAAGTCAGAGTAGTGGACGTTAAAATTGTCGAGAGTACACATTATTGTTGGGTCATAGGATAAATGTAAGGGTGGTGCGCATCTTTGTCGTTAGGATATCGGTATAATGGAGCGGCTTAGAGCCACAAATAAGGGAAATATATGGGAGAAACCTTCTGAGCCAAAAGTAGGTGATCAAAACCCGATGGGGGCGGTGGAAAGACAGAAGGGGGAATAAGTGTAGACACAAACCTTATTCCTAGGGCGGAAGAACTGATGGAAAAAGTAGTCGAGAATTCTGAAGTGAGTGACTACTGTTGTTGGGGAGAGGGGATCAACTGAATTAATGATGTGCAGAACGTGAACGTTTCCTACTGAAAGGAGCAGCGGTGTTTCGTTTGTTTTGTATATGATTGTTCGATAAGTGTGAGTTAGATAAACTACACAAGCTCCTATGAATTGGGTGACGGTACTTTGCTGGACAGCAGTTTTGGCAACATCGCAACATGAGCTTGGAAACGGGACCAATTTGGGGATCCCGTAGCCCTTCCTCTTCGTAGTGTATAGTCGGGAGGGGCTTAAAGCACAAATGGCCTTCGTAGAATTCGCAGCAGAGGTCATTTTGGCGTCAGGCTTTTATGAAGCAAAGTTAGTAGCATTTGACTAGAATCTGGCTTTGTCCCAAAATAATGTGGAAATGGACTAGCTGGTCACCGAAAACTTTTTTTCAGGCTTGCTTCACTTCAATGCTTGTCCGGAGCGATAAATTTTGTAGGTGTTCGGAAGGCTAGCATTAATTCTCAACAAAGGACGAAATCAGATTGATTAAACCGGTTGGTTCCGAGTAGTTCGCTTTCATGTGAAGTAGGATATAGTTGTATAGAATAACTCTTGTTGGAATGACCAGTCTGCTGGCTCGAATTTTCATACATTACATTCCACTTGAGGAGAAAACTCCTCATAACTAAAAATGGGACACTTTCTGGTTTACCGAATAACTGATATACTTCCACAAAAGAAACTACAATGGACCTGAGCGAAATATGCTCATTTGCGTGCCACTTTGGTTTTCATGGGTAACTAACCTGAATCCCAACAGAACCTTTCGTTTATGATGTTCTTCAGCTGAATGTGCTTCACCAAATCGCCTCATGTTTCAGTTAATACGATACGCCAGTATCCCAATAAGTTGTACAGATGTAACACATTACTTACAAGGTGGAGAGAAACTCGAGAACTTTGCCTATCTGATGAGCCCCAAGAGGGGTGAAACCTGTCTTTGATTGTATAACAGTATCACTACCTTATGATTAATGTGTTACGTTTATACAATGGAGGTATCTCATGCCCTGTTTGTCATGTGACGTTATGTGCACCGCTGGTACACTACCTTCACCGTACAACCTCGCCTTTGGTGGACTTAGCTTTCCTGGTAGTTTAGTCGGGTCAACGTACCCGGTAAAATTTGCTGGGACATGTCATGTAGAAAAGTAAACAAACTGAGGCGTTTGATAAATCAAAGTAGATAAACGTGATATCTACGTTTGGTTTCTTTGGTTGCATCAGTATACACATCCATGACTTACTTCCTGTTTTTTTCTCAAGCTTAGCTGAATGGCGTGAATATTGGTTGTTCTTAACGAACTACGAGAAAGTCGTGACAACCGTTGTAGAGTTCAGCCACGTTTTGCTGGTCCCTTTGTCACAAATATGCAAGATTACTGAATTCTTGATACAACCAGCACACATGTTGGTTAATAGGCCGGTGAAAATGCTAGCCACAACAAAGTTTGGTATTTAAAAATACATCCTAGTGCAAGAACCTCATGTGAACTCAAATACACACCCTCCGATAGCGTACTGATGCCACCTCGTTGTTCAATAAAAGCAATAGATGTGTCCGTTTCAGCAAGCCTAACGTGAAAGCGTCGTCAGATGATCTTTGCCTGTCCAGATTCTAGATAGTTGAAAAGACGTCCTGGACTTTGAGGAGTGTGCTGCTGCATGAGCGTGGCTATGATATTCTTGAAATCTCGTGTTCTTTTCATCCTTTGTCCATCAACGTTCAGTGGGTATATTTGACATCCTGTTTCGCTGACAACCGTACTTTGTTGCGCATCGCCTCGCACTTTTTAACCGTTATTGTTTTCTGGTTAGCATCCAGAATTCAGAATTCTGCTCCCTGTTTCCATTATTTTCTAGATTGCGCGCTACAATTTAGCCGGCGGTAAGCGAGTTCGAGGCTGCTTGGTGGCAGCCTCTCTGGAGGCCTTCACTGGTGACAGTGTACCGGACAAGGCTGCTTTATACCGCGCGTACATCGTTGGTTGGTGCATTGAAATGGTTGTGTCCTCCGTTTCCATTTTCACTTATTTCGGTTTAGCTTCACGCTGGTTTCCTTATCCATGATGACATTATCGACAACTCACCAACACGAAGAAACCGGACCTCCTGGTTTTTGATGCAGAAACAAGCTGGCCGTGGTCTTATCGCTGTGAACGACGGATTGCATTTGATTCTTACCACCAAGTTCCTTCTTCATCGCCTGTTTGTCAGAAATGGTACTACAGCTGTGGGTTACCTCAAACTTCTCCAGTTATTTGATGAAGTTAGCTATCGGACTTGTTGGGGTGAAAGTCTAGATTCTCATTATTCTCGAACCGCTCCAAATGATAACACAACCGAGCTCCTTCCTCTTGATTCGTTTACTCGATCAAATTTCAATGAAATTTGTACTTGGAAGACGGGATTTTACACTTTCTATTTGCCCGTTGCCTGTGGAATAGCTATCGTGAGTATTGCTTTCCCTATCCGTCAATCGTACTCACACTGTTTCTGTTATTTATTCCATGATAAAAAGCCGTAATACAGTGGTTTCCAGCCTTTTTGATAATGCATGCTATTTTGTCATAACCCCACACCACTACTAACCCACCGTTTAGCTTTTCGTTATTCGAGTTTCGGTTCTACCTGACCCCCTCCCCTCCATTCCGCCATTTAATGGATAATAATAAGTGCATGATGGAAATTCAGGGCTGGTGCCTGCCCTATGAACCTGAAACAAAACTAGACGGACAGTGGGTCGTCAGTAGTACATTTTGTTGGTAGCGGTTCAAAAACATCTTTATGCATTCGTGTTAGTGAGGACGGTTGGCTTTGCATATAGTTTCTTGGTGCTTGCAGGATTATTTCGCCGGTGTCAGCTTAGACCGACAATACTCATGACCCTTGCTAAACCATTGAATGTTGGTTCAGGCGGTTAGCACTTAGATGCATTGCGGATGTTTTGAACGAAATTGTTCAACATACGAAGGGTAGTCCTTAATAGACTGAATTAAGTGCTGCTCGCTCGCTGTTTGGCTGGCGAAGCGGCTTAGATGTCTAATAAAGATTACTTCGCTGGTACGACTTGGTATCACGAAGGATGTGCCCTTGATTTGTATGATGTAATTAAGTTTTTTTTTCGCAGTACCCTAAACTACGCTTTTGTTCAAAGGAGCCAAATAGGGTGGTTGAAAATGCAGATGGGAAACGCTGTCAGTCTTGCCTCTACATGGTTCCAATGCTAATAGACAGGTTTGGTGATCAGCAAAAAGAAAAATTCCCTCGAGCTTCCGCGGTTATTTATACCGTCATCCTAAATGCCTTTTGGCGAGTGTGTTTTCAGAGATTCTACTGTTTTGTAAAATTTTCTAGGAACCGACAGGCCGGTTGTATTACCGCCACCTCCATTAGATGCTGACACTTTATTAGTGGCATATTTGTTGTTGAATGTTACTTATTAGATGCTCTTATTTGATGCAGTCCCCTCAATTCGGTTCCATCTTCATCATATACTTACTGTCCCTAGGATATTCGGGTTCCCTGCCTGTGGAATGTAAGTAGACCCACCGCACGTTCGTCTCTCTTTTGTATAGATCCTTGTCAAGGCTCATTCGCTCACAAAAGACCACACCTGATAATTAACTTCAGTCATTCTCTTGCTATTCCATTGTTCTCACTACATAGGCATACCTATGCATTGGCAATGTTGTAGAATGTAGGTAGCTTGGGTGCGCTGCTTGGTTGTTGGTCTGGTCGCCGATTTTGTTAGTTGGATTGCAATCCAACCGTGAACAGACCAACAAACAAATACCTATCTATTGTCAGATTTCGGTATGGTGCCGCAGTGTCCCCAAAGTAAATTCCATTGAAGCAGCAGATGTCTGGTTCTTTTGATTAAAGCAAAGGTTTTTATCGATACCTAACAATAAAATAAGTTAGTTCGTGGTTGTTCCATTAGGAACAGGTTTAAAGAGGTTCTACGTTGGACGAACTATCACCCCACCAATGACTACTTTCGGTAGTTACTCTATGGACGCAAACCACGATTTACCTATAGATGTCATTAGTTCAGATATGAAGCGTACACCGCGTAAGGCAAAGATTTTGAAAATATCCATTGGCACAAAGGTTGAGCTTTAACATGGAAGCGTTTCGACAAGGTGTGACCCTAAAACGCTTTTCCGACGTTCAGACGACAGCTGGATAACCCGCTGATGTGCGGTGGCTCTCCGGATAGCTTGATGACATCTTGTTGAAACAGGAAAAACCTATTATGTCGGCTACACGATAACCTGTGCATCTGTGGTTCAGTGACTCAAAGTGATGAGTTTGGCGTTCTTCAGGGAAGCAACCAGCGCGTCAACCGCTTCAGTAGCCTCAGATTGGATGTTCAGTAATTTAAGGCACTATACCTGACGGTTATCTGCCTGGTTAACTGTTTTCGGTGTCTGAGTACCCCGAGTAATTTATTGTATATGAATTAGTAGTATGCTTCGGTCCTACAGTACTTCGTGATATATAAGTTTCAACGGGAATCGCACGGCTTTTTCTTATCTTTTCAGGCCGGCACAACCGATGAAGCATCCTATTCGGCTGCTAGCCATATCCTGCTCAAACTGGGGCGGTATTTCCAAGCACAGGTGAGCCTTATCGGATAAGACAAATAGTGATTACAGTTGCCATGCATTGAATGCTTCCACATACACACACGACTTCGTAAACCTATCCCACATACCGTTTTTCGGGTTCAGGACCGAACTTAAGGAACTCGTCTGCCTGGGTGGTCAGAGACGCGCAAGGGCTGATCGCTTTACCAGATTGGCCTGTCGGATAAAGTTGGACAAGTTCGTTTCGACACTGACTTAGAACTATTGCTACTCGGCCCTCTGTGTTCACAGCAAAATCAACTAGTGTTTATGCGGTAAACTACTGTTACTAGCTTTCGCAACAGTCTATGACTTCCAAGAGCTCTTCTACAAACATAAATTTAAGTTATCTGCATTATATCCTCTCCTATCCGTTCAGCTGTAAATGGGCATGCCGCACGCTGCGGTCTACCTTCACTACCGCTCCTTCCGTTAGTTTCCGACAAACCACGTATTCAGATAACGTATTACAAGTGCTCCATTTGACCCATGAGTTACATCACTTGTCCAAGTTGCAGAATTATTACGAAGCTGAGCTGTTTTGATCTTGGCGGAAAAAAAATTGCAAGGCATCATGCATTAGTCTCCCTGTCCCAGACCAAAACAATTTGTATTGGCAGTTATCAGTTGTTCTACTGACTATTTTAAATTGTGTAATGATCCTATCCACTTCATTGTGACACTGGTTGACAGGTTGCTTGCTTTTGCTCTTGAGCAACTAAAGCTGGCGTCAGACCATAGTTATAAGCATTCAACCAGAATGACAGTTGATATACGCGCACGGGCAAGGAAGAAGTACCCGCCCAACTGCGCGCTGATGATGTCTCCTCGTATGGTGACGAAACATTTGCAAGCCCGACTGCCAGCTCGGCGAACAGTTCAGCAGTCACCTGATCAACAACCAATAAACTCACCCGAGCTACCAATATTTCATCAACACATCACCAATAGTTAATATTCCCTAGTGGAAACGCAGTGGATACGATTTCATCCTAGAACCAATTTTAACTCTCCTACAACTGTGTGCTTGTTCGAGAGTTATCAAAAGAAGGAAGATCATAATCAATGGTGCTACATTTATTCAATTTTGACACCAAATTGAAAAGTGTATTTCGGGGAAGTTGTGGTTATATCAGGCCGAAGTATACTGTCATATGCGGGTATGTTTGATTACCCTTTAGTAAACAAAAAACAACTCAGCGAACTACACTCATTTGCAAACTAATTTTGTTTTTCGAGAGACTCACCTGGAACCCAGCTGAATCTCTCGTTTGTGGTGTTTCCAGGTAGCTGAATGTGCTGCATCGGACCGCCTCATGTTTCAGTCACTACGATATTTGAGATATCGTAATACATGTATATTTGTAATGCACTACCCATAAGGTTGACGACTGACTTTCCTTTCAGCAATGAGTAGTGCATTGCAAAAACCAACTTGTTTAAAATGACCATCGCACATTTTTCAGGATTTAAAGTCGGTTGAACTTCCGTCGGACGGGTTTACTGTACACGTCCATCACCGATATTTTTCGTTTTAGGATGACTACCTGGATTGTTTCGGTGACGTTGCGGTAACCGGAAAGGTTGGCACTGACATCGCCGATGGAAAGTGTTCGTGGCCGATTGTTGAGTGCTTGGCTCGGGCATCTCCTGAACAAATTAAGGTCATTCAGGTATCTTCCATGGGAACATCAGTTTGGTGTTTATCTTACCCTTTGCATCCCGTGTGTCGTCTTGACGTGCAAAAATTCCTGTTCGAATCCTCCTTAGCGGTGCAGTTAAGTGCATTTTTATTCAAACCACAGAGACCCTATATAGGTGGAATGAAGGCAACTTTTTCACATAAATTGGTATATTTAAGCAATCGTCTTCCAAACCCTAATGTGAGGTTTTATGAATTTGGCACACTTAAAATTTTGTACCGCCGCTGTCAGGCGCATTCGGAACATTGGACAACTTGGTGAAATAGAAAGCGTCATCTCAAATTTCCGAAAATTGTTGCATCAGCGATGACCCCAGCCATTCGGTCACGTTACCAGTAAGCGTGGAAGGAGGCTGTGCAACTTTCGGTGGGTTCATCCAGGATGGCACTGCCGTCTTGAAAGCAGCTAAGAACCTGGATCGATACCGCCGAGTCAGGTACGTGAGGGTTCAGTCTTACCTGCAGTCAGGATTTGTCTCAATCTGTGGTGACCTTGCCTCTGATTGTCGTTGGCGGGACATCTGTGAAACCGACTCACCATCCGAAGACAGTCGCTTTGAGATGAAGTAGCCTAGTGGTCGAGAGTGACCGAAGGCACGCGGCAATATACTGATTTCGTACTTGTGTCGGCAGTTACCGTGAGAATCCTCACCTTTTTAGGCATTTACAGTCTAGCTTCGTAGACAGCAGTGACGCGGGATGTTTTTGGAACGGATTGGTCCTCCTCCAAGAAGCCGCCATGAAGTAATGTAAACTATGTAAACGAATTAGCAGAACTGCACCTACTGTCTTTCAAAATTTGGTATTAGTTGTTATACTGGACGTGGCCATAGGTTCCGAGTTGGATTGTATTCGCTGTGGTCTTTTTAGCCTTGCAACCTGAACCCACGTGAACCGTTACCGTGTTGCTACGCTCCGATGACTGTAAATACCGTAATCCCGGTAGAACAGTGTCGCTGTTTCGTGTCTACTTCGGGCCCCCATCCATGAGTGCTACCCTAGGTTTAGTGGTCTTCCCAAACACTGTCATCTAGTTTACCCTGTGCTCATACAACCAACGGATATGCATCAACTTCAGACGAGGAAACCAGTGCACACCATTAACGGTAGGCCTCACATTTGTACACCGTTCTTCCAACCACTGGGCTGTTGACCCCAGTGTGCTTACTTGTGCTTTCATTAGCCAAACCTTCGGATAATTACCACTGTTGATGCTGCTCTTGACGTTGAATCTTGTATTTCTACGTAATGCTTATCTCGACTCTTGCATCCTCCTGCAGTAATTGACATTGATATACGCGTGCCATACATGTCACTTCCTTACTAATTCAATTTTGTTCTGTAGCAAAACTATGGCCGCAGGGATCCGGTGGCACAGTCAGCTGTACGGGAGGTGTACGAACAACTGCGTTTGCGGCAAATATTTGCGGATTACGAGGCGCAGATGCGAACGGAAATCATGGGAGATATCACGGATTGGACCCTTCCGGATGCTTGTGTTACTCGCCATGCACAGCATCTGTTTTGTGATTTGGTTGACCTATTGTTTCGCCGTGCAAAATAGTTTTTCTTATCCTAATTTGTTTCCCCTCCCCCACTTACCCATATATCTAACTGTGTGGTTCTCTCCTTTGTGATACAGTTCTTTGACTTTTTATCGCAATTTCCCTTGCTACACAAACTTTTAGATCAGTTAATGAACCATACCTAGTATCTACGCATTTATGTTGGGTACGGTAAGAGGACACCGTTATCAACAGGTTTTTAATACGTGAGACCCATTTGTATACGTATTTTTCAAGCTATTATTGTTTTGCCATCGGCTACCCGATAACTGGAAAACAGCGTTTTTTGTGAAAAATTGTTTCGTCAGAAACCCTAGAGTTCATGTTTTCTAGTCGCATCCTGGTCCACTGTTTACTGTCGTGCTCTTAAATGGATGCGGAAAGGATATACCATGAAAACCGTACACCACGAAACCAGATTAGAATTGTATGAAAAATCGATACTGCGGACCTCAGTCAAATAGGTAGAATTTCCAATTCTGAGTAAACAGCCATTCTCTCATGCACATCAGACCAAACCTAGGTTCGGCAGAGCGTATAGTGAACCAACGTAAGAACCCGACTTACCTCCGCTGTTTTGGCTTGTCAAATCCAAGATTCCTGTCCCTTCCATTTCGGTCCGCGACTCCTGATCTGTGACCTCGCTGTTCCGTTTTCTTGGGTGAAGTTCGCAATGTTCCTGGGATAGTTTTCGACAGGTTCCTTTTTGTTTTCTAGTGTGCCTAGCAGTGAAGCATCAGTGTTGAACACTGAATACTTGTCAGAGTTCCTTCTGTGCAACGGGAAAGGGTTGAAGATGGTATTCACTAGCTAGTCGAATGACCACTTTCCCAGATGTTCCTAATGATTAGAGGGGTGCTAACGTAGTCCATTTTTAGGGTCTACCATTGGCTTCAGCCCAGTAACTCAGGGCATTTCTTCAGTAGTCTTGTAAATCCAGCGGTGAGAGCACATTGATTGCAGACGCATGCATAAAGAATGATTGCTCCATTAGTAGGTTACAAGGAAATCAAAAGAAGCACCATTCAAAGAGGCTGTCGCAAAGAGCCAGTGCGTAAAAAGCAGCTGTCACCCTTGTCATATCAAACCGTCCGCCCCAGTTATGACGACAGGATTTTGAGTCCAACTGAAACGAATGGCCACTTGAGAATGGACGACACTGATTCAAAATACAGTAATGTTACTGCATTGTTTGCCGAGTCGTTTAATACTATTTGACCAATGAAATGTTGAGTTTACAGAAGTTCCGTGAGTTTAGTATTAGATGGCTCCACATAAGTTAGTTAAATTGATTAATGAACACAAAATAATTGGTTTATTAATACAAGATCGGGATTTCGTATGACTGACGCAGCGCACAGCAGTGTAGATCCACCAAGTGTAGGTGTAAATTTATTCCAAAGCTGTTTAAGGATGATCTGTGGGTAACTCGCGTGATGTCACTTATTGTTATACCACTGATATATGTTACGATGAGAACTACAAAAGTATAACCGCATACAGTTTCACTGAAACCCAGTACAGAATACGATTCACGTTTAAGTCAAATTTCACATAGTCCAAGTAGGTAAATCCAATGCTTCCTGGATGATAACGATCCTCCAGTATGGAAAATATACATACCGTTTTTGAAGATACGCGAAATGCGTAATAAAAAATACTGGTAAATAATATTCCCATTATTTGTATCGGGACCTTGAGTAAAATTATTGTGGTGTTGGTCCTCTCAAATTCAGCTGAATTCTCATCTCTTCGCAATAGCAATTGTCAGAAGGGGTGTTTGTTTCAGTTTCGCCCGCCATGCTAATACTAGCTTGTGGATTTTCAGTGGAGACCAAACCTTTGAATATTGCTACCCATAATTTGAGATACCTGATGACGTGTAAGTACGCAGAAGGCGATAGCAACGACTAGAGACAGGAACATCATTGTTGGCACTCATGGCAAACTGTCATGCAACTACAAATTTTATTTAACTATAATTAAAGTCAAACTGAAAAGAAGGGAAATTATTTACTCTGGGGGTTGGTGCTAGCCTATCCCAAGCTTTTCGAAGTGTTTACACCTCCAAACGCCAAACCTGGAAAGAAACTGCTAGCGCGAAAGGTCATTGCATCGATCACCCTCCATATCTACCAAGCGCAGGCGTGTGTGTGGCGACTCCATCCTGGAATGTGGATTGCACCAGCCACACCTAAACTCTTCGTTATCTCTTTCGTGCCCTTCTCCCTATCCATACTTTGTCCACCCAAGTTTAGACCATTCTGGAGAAGCTAAGGAGAGCAGCACTCGTCTAGGTGGACGAGGTTTTGGCATGCGTAGAAACCGCAGCTAGCGTTGTTGGATGTTTTCCACAACTGAAATATCTGCTGCACAACCAGATGCTTTTATGCAACTACCTGGTACGAATTGGTTGGCTCATCCCGACATCAGAATCGGTCGCCAGAGGCCTTTAGACGCCTCATTTCATCTGTCTTCAAAGGTCCTGCCTCACAACCACACAGCAATACGGCGCTGTCTGGCACGGATGAAACTTGATACGCGGTGATATGAATCTTTGGCATCATAAGTGATGCAAATTCGCAAACGTGTTTCGAGCCTTTGGGATTGGTGCACTAACTTCATCAGCCACGATTCCGTCAGGACTAATACAGCTTCAGCAAGGCTCCTCACAACCGCCGGTGATTTTCCTTGAATTAAAATGATCGTACTCGTAAGCATAACTCAGCGCTTTGTGGGCGCAAAGCACACGCCAAACGATGGTATGTTGGTGGTCCGTTTAGCAAACAGAGTTTATGCTTCGCCTTCGTCATTGAAGCTGAAGTTGATGTTTTCATGCTCCATATTGAAATGCTTCTCACCAAAAGAAATGTAAACACCGAACTTTTGAAGAGCTTCTAACGTTTATCCCATTATTGCATCAAAGATAGAGTTGAACAAAAATGAATAGTGTGTACCTCCTCGTCAGTTGCGTGTAGCCGTCGACCGAATTATCAAGCCTTTTCCTGGCTGCGTAAACCGTTAGCTGAATGTGTTTCGTTCATTCGCACATTTTTGTATTCAAGGATGACATAAGAATCAACACCGGATTCACTAGCTCCATTTCGAAGGACGATTGCAGATTAGGAGGAGGATCATTTGGGAGTTGTACTTTTTCCAATAAAACCCATCAAAATTATAGCCAGTGTATAGATAGGGGGTGCACAATTGGATGAATCATGCAACCCGGAGATGAATGAGACGGGCCCATTGACACCGAGTTCAACGAGAATCACTTTGTAACTACATCAGAGAGGTAGGTTGGGTGCCAGGACCAGTTGCATATTAATGGAAGATGGGTATTTGGTACTTGACGATGGATCAAACTCTGCGGTAATACAAACCAAAGAAATGACCTCTCGCATTCAAAATTCTCATCTCATTCCAGGTTTTTATGTATCATTTATCCTGTGTGCTAATTTCATTCTAATCTCTGACAGTTCTTCAGTATGCTACTGCAAAATATTATGACCGTTTATTTTGCTTTTGGTGGACCTATCCTGTTTGGAGTGACTCGGCCGTAAGGAATAAGATACTGTTGCAGTATGTCGACCGGTTCCACCGCTGGATTTATTAAGCCCGTATGCTTATTTAGGAGCAGTTTAACGGAAATACGGATAAAGACCGCACCGATAGCCAACTAAATCCGTATTTACGCCTGCAAAATATTATTTAGCAGCGTCAGTGCACACATCCTGCCTTCCGCAGTGGTCAGAACTGATAAGGGTTATGTTATAACGAAAGCAAAAGATATACAAAATCATCAGGAGGAGTCCTAAAGGCATCAACGGTCGGACCAACTAGGTCTGCATTTACTACACCCATAGATTACGCCTTTGAATTTGGCACCTCCGTTATTCCTGAACACTTGGATTTCCCCGGGGGAGGAGCCTCTCATGGAGAACACTACCATAACTTTTAGTCTTTGACATATATACGAAAGGTTGCGGAATGTGCTTCACAAAGTTTTTGAAGTATTCACGTTCATTTGAACAGTGGTTGTGACGCTCAACGATGGAGTTCAAGGATGCAACAAACTGCACTACGGAATGCTACTTTAGTCGGTATAAGTAGCTAAGAAGTTGAAAGGGTTGCTAGCGTCGCATTTATTTTCACATGAAGTGCTGTTCACTTCACGAAGTGAGAGGTTTCCGTTACACATGTTTGTATAGATGGTTGACATCCGATGAGGATTTGGTTGTCAGCGGTAGTTGTACCACTAGAAGCCTACGCATAGTTATGACAACACACTGTTTGTGAAGTGGTGCATCTAACAAAAACCCGGTAGAATCACACGGTTGGACGAATTCAGAGTCAAAAACCGTTATAAACATAAAGATACTGCACTGAATAACTACAGTTCAATACTCAACGAAAAGCTGGTGCCATACGTCAACCTCTTGGCGTTTGAGATAAACACCAAACTTGACTTTTGATCATCTAACCCGCCATGAATTAAGACCTTCGAACTTGTCCGTGCTTGAACGTATAGCATTTTGTAAGGTGGCTGCGCTCAGTGCGATGTTTCATTGTGACTCAAAATCAAAATGAGCTTCCACTCATATTCACTTGTAGTTTTTTTCAGTAGGTTGACATAAATAGGTATATTAAGCGGTTTTAATCTAGAGTTATTTTTTCCTCGAACTTGTCCGTGCTTAAACGTATAGCATTTTGTAAGGTGGCTGCGCTCAGTGCGATGTTTCATTGTGACTCAAAATCAAAATGAGCTTCCACTCATATTCACTTGTAGTTTTTTTCAGTAGGTTGACATAAATAGGTATATTAAGCGGTTTTAATCTAGAGTTATTTTTTCCGAAATTGGGTTGTGGCACCTGATCTGGTTTATGTGAAGCATGCAGGGATGAAATCCACTAGTCGGGTGTCCTGATCTCAAACTGGGTGACTTATGTGGTCAAAAGGACTCATCATACATGTTAACTACACTTTGGTGTGCCAAGTTGACTGTGTGGTTCGTGATTTCCAACAAGTAGTCTGAATAGCTACTGTGTTTTATTTCAAAACCACGCAGGTGACTTGATCACCATAGTTCGTGTATTGCATTTTTGACTACATCTCAGTATGAGGGTATTTTTCTATCGATCTCGCTCTCTGAACACAGGGTGCCGAGTGTTCCTGTGATAGCTGATGCATGGTAATGATGCTTTGTGACCACTGATCTATCGGGTTAGTTTTGATGCCACTAATTCATAACTAGTCGGTGGCGTTATTTCCATAGTTCCCGTTCACCTTTGTGACACGATGACAAAAACCAAATCTG